TTTATTTTTATTTTTATTTTTATATTTTATATATATATAATTTTTCAGCATACATATACACATCTAATTTACATATAATTAACTATAAATCCTAATTCCAGCGCTAATTAGAGGCACCATCCCCTGCAGCGCCCTCAGGCTGATCCACACCACATTCCTGGATTGAATCCACAAAAAACCATGGATGAGACATCCACAATTAATCCCAAATTTTCCCTCTCAGCCTTTGCTAAACCCGTCCTCGAGGCCAAAATTCCCTCTGGAATTCCATCAGGCCCAGAATTCCCTCTGGAATTCCCTCTGGAATTCCCTCAAGGCCAGAATTCCCTCAGAATTCCCTCTGGAATTCCCTCAAGGCCAGAATTCCCTCAGAATTCCCTCTGGAATTCCCTCAAGGCCAGAATTCCCTCAGAATTCCCTCTGGAATTCCCTCAAGGCCAAAATTCCCTCAGGCCAGAATTCCCTCTGGAATTCCCTCAAGGGCAGAATTCCGTCTGGAATTCCATCAGGCCAGAATTCCAGAGGGAATTCCATCAGGCCAGAATTCCCTCAAGGCCAGAATTCCCTCAGAATTCCCTCTGGAATTCCCTCAGACCAGAATTCCCTCTGGAATTCCCTCAGAATTCCCTCAGGGCCAGAATTCCCTCTGGGAATTTGTCCCGTCCTGGAGGTTCCTAGAAAAGGATGGGATGTGGTGGAGGAGCTCGGGGATCTTTCCCAACCATCACAGAAATGCCAAACCTGCAATTCCAGCCTCATTCCTGCCCGGAAAAGGGACCCAAAAGGGCAATTCCAACCTTATTCCAACTTGGAAAAGGGACCTGAAAACCACTTCCGTCCTCAATCCAGCTTGCAAAAGCAGCCTTAAATCCATTTCCAGCCTCATTCCCACCCGGAAAAGGGACCCAAAAGTCACTTCCAGCCTCATTCCCACTTGGAAAAAGTCCCCAAAAGACAATTCCAGTCTCATTCCCGCATGGAAAAAACCCCAAAAGACAATTCCAGTCTCATTCCCGCTTGGAAAAAACCCCAAAAGACAATTCCAGTCTCATTCCCATGCGGAAAAGGGACCCAAAAGTCACTTCCAGCCTCATTCCCACTTGGAAAAAGTCCCCAAAAGACAATTCCAGCCTCATTCCTGCCCGGAAAAAGTCCCCAAAAGAGAATTCCAGCCTCATTCCAGCTTGGAAAAGGGGCCCAAAAGACACTTGCAGCCTCATTCCCGCTTGAAAAAAAACCCCAAAATCACTTCCAACCTTATTCCCACTTGGAAAAAGTCCCCAAAATTCACTTCCAGCCTCCTTCCCACTTGGAAAAGGGGCCCAAAAGACAATTCCAGCCTCATTCCCACCCGGAAAAGGGACCCAAAAGAGAATTCCAGCTTCATTCGCACCCGGAAAAGGGGCCCAGAAGTCACTTCCAGCCTCATTCTAACGTGGAAAAAGAACCTAAAACCCACTTCCAACGTCATTCCTGCCCGGAAAAGGAGCCCAAAAGGCACTTCCAGTCTCATTCCCACTCGAAAAAAAAACCCAGAATCACTTCCAGCCTCCTTCCCATCCGGAAAAGGGACCCAAAAGACACTTCCAGCCTCATTCCCACCAGAAAAGGGTCCCCAAATTCCACTTCCCGCCTCATTCCCGCCCGGAAAAGTGTCCCAGGCGGTTCCTTACTTGCCGTGGGGTTTCCCCTCCAGCCACTCGCCCTCGTAGGTGGCCCCTCGGAGCCGGCCGTCCCTGCGGAATCCGTAGCTGAAGAATCTTCGGGATGGAGCCTCGGCTCCGTCGCCGCTGCCGCCCCAGAGCGGGAAATCGCGCTTCCCGTTGAGCGCCTGGCGCACGGCCTGCTCCAGCTTCCAGCGCCACACGGCCTGCGGGCACGGAAAACAGGGAGAGGGACGGAATCAGAGCCCATCCCGGGAAAAATGGATGGAGAAAACGTCGGGGAGGGGCTGAGGAATTTGTGGGAATCAGAGCCCATCCCGGGAAAATGGGACAGAGACGATGTCAGGGGAGCGCTGAGGAATTTGTGGGAATCAGAGCCCATCCCGGGAAAAACGACAGAGACGAGGTCAGGGAAGATCTGAGGAATTTGTGGGAATCAGCCCCCATCAAGGGAAAATCAACGGGAAAAATGTCAGGGAAGTGCTGAGGAATTTATGGGAATCAGAGCCCATCTCGGGAAAAATGGATGGAGACGACGTCAGGGGAGCGCTGAGGAATTTGTGGGAATCAACACCAATCCTGGGAAAAATGGACGGAGACGATGTCAGGGAAGCACTGAGGAATTTGTGGGAATTCCAAAGGGGGTTCTCCTGGACAGGTGGAGGGAGGAATTCCCGCTCGGATGTGAAAAAAACGGGAAAAATGTTAAAAAAGAAAGACAAAAAACCGCTGGGTTCCCACCAACATCAGCTCTGAGCAACCTCTGGAATCTCATCCAGGATTTTTTTTTTGGAAAAGGAGGGGGAAAAATCCCAACCCAATCCCACTCTGGATTATCCTCCTGATTTAAATATTATGGAAATGGGAAAATCCCGAATCCTGACCTTGGTTTGGGGGTCCTTGGTGGAGAGGACGAACGTCTCCTCTGGGGTGGTGACGCGCAGGCCGTGCCTGGGAGGGAACAAAAACCAAAAAAAGGATGGAAAACGCAATTCCCGATCCGTCGGATCTTCCTCCTGGAGATCCCGGTGCTTTTCCAGGTGTTTTTTTAGGTTTTTTTCTGGAGTTCTGCTGGATTAAATAATTTTGGGATTGATGGGTGATGAACGGGATGGGAGGGAACGGCCTCAGGTTGTGCCTGGGGAGGGTCGGATATCAGCGGGAATTTTTTTATGGAAAACGTGGGTGGGGATTGCTCAGGGAGGTTTGGAGTCTCCATCCCTGGAGGTGTCTGAGGAATTCTGGGAACAAGGTGGGATTTGATGATTCCAGAGGGTTTCTTCCAACCTCAGAAATCCTGGGATTTCAATCTGGCAGCAAATTCCAAGCTGCTGAGATCCCGTTATCCATATCCCAATCCCTCCGCTCGGAAAGGAGATGGGACAAAGCTTTGGAGCGTTTTCCCATCCACCTGAACGTTCTCATTCCTGGAATTTTTTTGAATTCCCAGTGGGAATTTCTCACTCACGATCCCGGAGCCAGTTTCTCTCCGCAGTTTTCATCCACCCACACCAACTTCAGATCAAAACTCTGGAAGCTGTTTCCCTGGAAAAAACGGGAAAAGGGAATTGCTGGAAACATCCGTGGAATAGCAGAGCTGGAGGGGAAGCTCAAATTCCCGATTTTTTTGAACCAGAGATGGAAAAACCATGGGAAAAGGAGGGAATTTCTTGTCTGAACATTCCTAAAGATATTCCAAAATTCCATGGCCACGTCCAGGAGTGAAACATTCCCAGGTGACCCCGATGTCCACGGAATTCCTTCCCCACCACACGACAACATTCCCAAATCATTCCAGCCGATATTCTCGGAGATTTGTGGCTGCCCCATCCCCGGATGCGTCCAAGGAAAGGTTGGAGCAAGTTGGGATGGTGGGAATCACGGAATGGCCTGGGAATGGATCAGCTTTAAACTCCCTTCCCATCCAATCCATTCCGGGATTTATTTAGGATTTGGGTGGCAGCGCCAAAAAATATCCCAGGAATCCCAAATTGAAGGATTTTGGGATCAGCAGCAGAGGAACAGAACAAAATCCAACATGGAATAAAAGGAAAAAATTCCATTTCCCATCTCCTTTCCCATCCAGGTGTTCACACGGAGCTGCTGCCTGGCAGGATGGAGTTTTCCAAGGAATTCCCGGAACGTTCTCCCGGATTTGGGAGAAGAGGCAAGGAAGGGATGTCAAGATTCCCAACCAGCTCCATCCCAATCTGGTCGGAATTCCCGAAGTTCCATAAAGCTCGGCAGCAGCAGGAGAGACACAGACGGGAATCGCGGATCGAACACGGAGATAATTCCATGGATTTGCTGATCCCGACCTCCCATCCCAGGCACCGGAGCTCATCCAAAAATGTGGAAAACCCAAATTCCATGGCACGGGATGCTCTTCCTGGAGTTTTTAGGGAATTCTCATCATCTCAGGGAGGAGAATTCCGCAGTGTCAGGGTGGGGAAGGGAATCTCTACCCCATTCCTAAGGTTGGATCCTGATTATTCCCAAAGTTTTGTTTGGGAGAGTTTGGGAATGTCCTGGCTCCCAGGGCAGTGTTGGGATACCTGAGGAGCAGGAAAAGATTCCTGCTGGATCCCAGGAGCTTCCGAACCGGGATTCCATTGGAATTCCCTCACGGGAACACATCCCCACAGTCCAAAATTCCCAAAACCACCTCCGGCATCTTCAGCCGCGCCACAAACACGGAAAATCCCGTTGATCCCAATCCGGGATCTCAGCCTTGATCCAGCAGATCCCTTGGAATAACAAAGGGCCCAAATTCCCTGTGGAAAAGGGTTTGGATCGCTCCAAAGGTGCCCGAATCCACATTTCCTGGGAAAATCCTGTGGATCTCCTCTACTCATTCCCAGATTTTCCTTTTTTTTTCCCCAGAGCCAACCACACAAAGTTTTCCCAACTTTTCCCATCAGCTGAACTCTGCTGGATTTTCAACATCAAAAAACCTGGAATTTTCCAGCCATTCCTTGGGGAAATCCCAGTAATTTTTGTAATTATTATATATAATTGTATGTGTTATTTATAAATATAAATATAAATATAAATATAAATATAAATATAAATATAAATATAAATATAAATATAAATATAAATATAAATATAAATAAAAATAAAAATAAACATAAACATGAACATGAATATGAATATGAATATGAATATGAATATGAATATGAATATGAATATGAATATGAATATGAATATGAATATTAATATGAATATGAATATGAATATAAATATAAATAGAAATATAAGTATAAATATAAAAATAAAAATAAAAATTTTCATGTGGTTTTTCCGTGTTCTCTTCCCGCTCCCTCCGGAGGATCCCGGACTCACCTGGATCAGCACCAGGACGTCGTCGAAGAGCAGGAGGCGCTCGGAGCGGGAGCTGCCGGAAGCGATGGGAAGGTTCCTGCTGTCCTCCAGGAGTCTCCGCTCGGGAACGCGCAGCACGTCCTGGAGCGGAGGGAAAAACCGGGATTGGGAGAGGACACGGAATTCCGGGCGGGAATTCCCGCAGGGATCAGCTGGCTCGGGGTGACGAATGTGGGGCACAAACTCGGCTCCCCCAGGGAGCTCCTCCTGCTCCTCCAGCCAGCCCTGACTGATGGAATTCCAGCCCCAGATTCCCGATCCACATCAAATTCCTGATCCACATCAAATTCCCGATCCACATCAAATTCCCAAACCAGATCAAATTCCCAATCCAGATCAAATTCCCAATCCAGATCAAATTCCCAACCCAGATCAAATTCCCAATCCTTATCAAATTCCCAACCCAGATCAAATTCCCAATCCACATCAAATTCCCAACCCAGATCAAATTCCCAATCCACATCAAATTCCCAATCCACATCAAATTCCCAATCCTTATCAAATTCCCAATCCTTGTCAAATTCCCAATCCAGATCAAATTCCCAATCCTTATCAAATTCTGGATCCATATCAAATTCCCAATCCATATCAAATTCCCGATCCCAATCAAATTCCCTCTGGCTCAGGGTTCCAGGGACAGCGACACATTCGGGACAAAAATTCTGGGATTTTCTCCAGCTCCCCCACCCAGCTCTGTTCTATGAAATTCCAGCCTCAAATTCCCAGTCTTTATCAAATTCCCGATCCTTATCAAATTCTGATCCATATCAAATTCCCAATCCAGATCAAACTCCCAATCCTTATCAAATTCCTGTTCCTTATCAAATTCCCAATCCATATCAAATTCCTGATCCTTACCAAACTCCCGATCCTTATCAAATTCCCAATCCAAATCAAATTCCCAATTCTTATCAAACTCCTGATCCCTCTCCCATTCCCAATCCCTCTCCCAATCCCATTCCCATTCCCATTCACATTCCCGTTCCCTCTCATTCCCAATCCCTCTCCCATTCCAAATCCCATTCCCGTTCCCATTCCCATTCCCATTCCCATTCCCGTTCCCATTCCCATTCCCTCTCCCATTCCCGTTCCCATTCCCATTCCCATTCCCATTCCCGTTCCCATTCCCATTCCCAATCCCTCTCCCATTCCCGAATTCCTCTCCCATTCCCATTCCCATTCCCATTCCCATTCCCATTCCCATTCCCATTCCCATTCC